CGGTTGGTGCCGCCCCCCAGCCAATGGGAGCCCGCTAGGGCTGGTTCTGGTCGCCCGGAGGAAACTGCAGGGGGAGATGATGAAAGGCGGGTGCTGACTGGTGAGTGTGGAAAAACCTCCCATAGAAACAGCTCTGCGATTGGTTCTCCTAGGCATCCCGTCAGGAGAGCCCGCGTCCAGGCGGAGCCAGGCTTGGGGGACGTTGCAGGTCGTAGTTGCCGTCTCGGCCCGGAAGGGCGGCACAGCCGAGAGCCGCGGGGATAAGTTCTCCTGCCCCGGCGCCGGTAGCTAGGCGCGTCCCTCCTCCCCGGGGCTGCAGCTCTCCCGTGCTTCGTCCGCTCGCTGAGCTCCCAGCACGGCCCTGCCTCGGGTGAAGGCGTCCCGCGTTTGTGTAGGGTGGGTAACAGCATATTTTCCCACCTTGTACTGGAAGCTCTGAATGGCTATTTAATAACCATTAATCGTTGCGAAAGCCAGGCTAGTCTGTGAAAGGTCACTTCCAAACTTGGAGAATGCCCAGCACTGTATGCAGTAAACTAAAGGCTCTCCGTGTACTTGGCTAAGGTACACACCATTTATTTTCTAGTCATAATTACCTTGCATCTAGGTATCAGTTCTTACCTCAAAGGATCCCAAACGAGTCTGTGTGTTTAATACGTGCCTTTGCAGATGCCACTAAAATACTTTTAAGGTGGACTGCAACAACTGTTGTAGTGCACAGCGGCACCATGTAAGAACAGGCATGTAAGATGAATCCTGTATGAAGCTAGGACTGGAGCAGGAATTTGTGGTAGACCATAGTTAACAAATAACCATTAGCATTGTATCTTGTTTCCTACATTTCCAGCATCTTATAGCATTACCTGGAAAGTGTCTACTGTGAGATTGTTAGTCTCATTCTCATGAAAAATCAGCAGCCTCAGAAATAACTTTCTGTATGTACACTACTTTTCCAAGGTGTTTTCTGTAAGTGGATTGTTAAGGCTAAAGTGTTTGATTTTTATTTGTTAAAAGTTATAGTTTTCAGAAAAAGGCATTTCTAGAGGTTCTTCTATGTGGTGTAGGGGAGGCTTTGTGCTGAGCTCAAGTTGGTCTTTCTCTTCCAGAATGGCTGGCACCATTATTGGAGTTGGACCAGGAGTGTTTATTGTAGCACTGCTCTGGGTGCTAGTATTGCTGCTTTGTGTGCTGTTATCCAGGGCCTCTGGCTTTGAAAGGTAAGGACATCTGTCTTTAAAAATAAAAAAAATGAAAGCATGTAGAGAAAGCAGCTGATTTTCTTCAACCATTTGGATTTCAAGTAGGGGTGCACCAATAAGGATTTTTTGGGTCGATACTGATGTCTGATTATTAATGAGTCAGATCAGCCAATACCAATCCAGTTGCCAATACACAGCCTGGCAGCTTAGAGAGCAGCATCTGGCTGGTAAATCTTTTGGAGGGGGGGGCAGATCGAGGCTCTCATGGTGAGGGAGGAAGTGGGGCTGGGGCAGGGTGCGGCGTGGGATAGAGCTGCAAGCAGCTTGTCCAGAGGGTGGGGAAGGGGGGCAGGGCCGTCCCTAGGGAGGGGCATATTGGGGTGATCGCCCTGGGTCCCATGCTTTGGGGGGCCCTGCAGAGCTGGGCGGAGCAGCCATGGCCCCTCCTGCAGGGCCCACCTAGTGCCAGTGACTCTGTGCTGCTGCTTCTGGTTTCACATCCAGCTGCTTGCAAACTTCCCCTTCCCCCCTGCCACTGGCTTCTTTGCATCCGGGCCCTGCACAGGCTGATTTGCCCCGGGCCCCGCACCCTGCTAGGCTCATCTCTGGAGTGCAGTCCAGCTCCTGCCACTGTGCGCACCCCCAGGGAAGGCATGGGGGGCATATGCCCCTCCCAGATCTGTGCGCGAGGTGAGAGTGGGCTGCCGCTGCAGGCTGGGGCCACAGGCAGTTCCAGGCTCTTCCTGGCGGTGTGGCTGATCTAGAACCGTACTCGGGGCGTGCGATGGCAGCACTGGGAAGGGGGCTACGGTGAACTTTGGAGTGGCTCTAGCTTCCCCATAGCCCCCCTCCCAGCACTGCTACCACCTGCCCCAACCACAGCCATGGCCCAGCACTGCTCACAGCGGCAGCCTGCCCTTGCCCCATGCATAGATCCAGGGGGTACATGCCTCCCCCTTGCCACCTTCCAGAGAGCATGCAGCGGCAGAAGCTGTGCCCCCCAGTCGCAGGGAAGGGAGCAGGACATCAGATTGCCATTAAAGGCCCCCCACAGTCCTGCTGGTGGCATATTGCCGCCCTGCTCCCCTCCCCGCAACCTGGCATGACTGGGGACATTGGAGCCTCACAGGGATCTCCTAGTGGCTGATTGCTTCGCACTGCCCCGGTGATGCGCCTCCTGCATGCAGGGTTGCACTGAGGGAAGCGATGTGGGGCTCTGCCACTCAAAGCAGCAGCAGGCGCAGGAGGCATTTTGCCAGGGCAGCAGAGGGCAAGGAAATCCTGGGGCAGCCCTGCTGTTCCCAGCCACAGTCGTGCCTGTGGGGCTACATCAGCCACGCAGGAGGGAAGCAGGGTGGGACCTGGGGCCTGCAGCCTGCCCCCCCCACATAGATCTTGGGGTGCGGTTCCCCCCCTGCCCCTAGGGAGTGTGCGCAGCCATCGGGAGCCAGCTGTGCCCCTGCCAGAGCTGGCAGCAGTGGGGGAGCTGGCTTCATGCTCTTGCTGCAGTTGCCTTCTGTTGGAAGCAGGGAGCTGTGGACCTGGGTCCCTTGCCCCAATGCCCTGGCAGCTGCCCCCCCCCCCCCCCCCCCCC